TTTGTTATTTTCTTGAAGCACAGTGCTTACTTTATATGAGATGATGAATTGTGCATTAGTGTATGTCTCATTTTCAGTTATTTGAATAAACAATACGTGAAAAGTAAAGGACGCATGGAAATTGAGGGTGGTTATGGTGCTTATAGTCAGTTCATAACACAAAGTGATGTGAAAGAGATTGGTCTGGTAAGGATTCGTAATTTTTGTGTTATCCTTTTTTAAACGTGTTTACCGAGGATTATTTTAATTTGTCGTTCGTAATCTTTACATCGCATCAATTATTCACTATTCCAAGAGAGACGAATGTTGAATACGACAAAATAAGATTATTACATGAGAGTTTTTGCTAAAGAAATGTATCCAATTTTACTTCCTGCAATGAACGTGATGATTTTCGCGAAGCACTGTCAAATATGAATGTCAATATTTATTTGAGTATTGATTCAGAATTTTGATTTGGCCAGCTTTCAGTTAGCCCTCGACATATGGAGGCAGAAGCTGATTCGACCAATCGAAACGCAACTCGTCAATCAACTTCTGAGTGCGATATCGGCGGATCGAGAAGGTCAAACGAATGTTGCGGTTGATGTGGTACGCGGGGTGATCATGTCTTTCGTACAGGTATCTTTCATGTGATAATGTTCTTAAAACTTAATCCATTTTCATTGGTCTGTATGAGCCCATCTCTAAAAACCTTTGTTTTTTTTGTTCTCGATAGAAAATCTAACATTTTAGCTCTAGTAACCTTATTGAGTCGTTGTGAGAGTTTCAAAAGAACTGAATTTGAGTTCATTGGTCAACTTTTCAGGTTGACGATATTGATGGTTTGCGTGAGAAGAGTGAGAAATATTCTGCGGCGAGTGGTGGTGTCTCCAATTACGAAACCTATCGAACGTTATTCGAAGAGAAGTTTCTTCAGGCCACTCATGACTATTATACAATACGTTCGAGTAAATTGATCACTGAACTGGATTGTTCAAAGTATATGGAAGCGGTACTTTTTCATTGTTTTTATTGGTGTCTTTCATATTGAATTTCTCTTTCGGCATATGCTTATCTATACGTGTATTATTCATGTTTATCAGTTGAAT